TGCGACGTTTGAGAACCGCGAAAAATGTTTACCGAAAAATTTTTACCGGTAAATTACCGGTATTTCACCGGTTAACTACCGGTAAGTTACCGGTAAATGTACCGGTAAATTTACCGAAACCATACCAATAGCACACACTGAAGAGAAGAACCCCTTACTTTCAACTTTGACCCCATATATCTCATTTCCTGTAAAAGATAGCAATAAGTTGTGAACTGATAAATTGTTTCCCATAATATCAGAAACATTTTATTAATTGACCAATTATTGATAGCTTCACAGGAACTGAGATAAATGGGCTGAAATTTGAAAGCTAGGAGGAACATTCTATAGTAGGTATTACGGTAGTACTCAAGGCTAGTAAGTTTCCGGTTCAGAAGTTTCTTAAAATGTTTAGGAATTTACGAATAGCTGGAAAAAACTGGATTCATGGTAAATACCATATTTATCTTATACAGAACCTAATAATCAATACAGTATGTCTGACTTCAAACCTCTTGATTCTTAAAAATTGTTATTAAAATCAAACGAAAAGTTGTAACGAAAAAAACCTGAACGTTTGATAACTAACATTGATTCTTTGCCAGTAATGATTTTTAGTTATTTGAAACATGATTTTATTTCAGAACCGAGATTTTGGAGATCCGGTTAATACCGTATTCGCTCTAATAGAAGCCCTTTATATATGTGCACTTTGAGCTCAATTATCTCAACTTCTGTGGGATATATCAAAAATTTGCAATTTACAAAAATCTTGGTGATATTATGATGAACAATTTATCAGTTGACCACATTTTGATATCCATCACAGGAATCCAGATAATTGAACTCAATGTGCATGTAACGGGTCGCATTCTATTACAAGTTTATAAGTTTATTGAAAGTTAACATTTATTTTTAAAAATCTCTTTCACTATCAACTTTGGCCACATTTGTTAGGCTAAAAAAAAGGGATGAACTGGCAATTATACCAGTTTTCAGTATCTATTAAGAATTAAGAAACCGAGGAAAATGGATCAAAGTAGAGGCTATGGGAGCTCTTTTATTACAGGTTTTACGGAACAGAAAAGATTTTATGGAACAAAATAGAGATTTTCTGAATCAAAATTTCTGAATCAAAAAAAAAGAATCATTTGACGCCTGAAGTTGTCTTGAGAGGGTTGTCCTAATTGTTAACAGACCAAGTAAAAAGAAGGTTACTGCTGTTTCAGTAGATTAGACTAGAACCGAGATATTTCCAAGCACAAGAAGGACCCCCTTGGTGAGGAAAAAAGAAAAGACCTCTTATTTTTTTCTTCAACTGGTCCTCCCGTTTTTTTCAACGATAGAGAGAGAAAGAGAGAGATAGATGGAGAGAAAGCTGTTGGAATAAGAAGATGAAGAAAAACTAGAAGAAGTGGAATACAATTTGGAGGAAGAGGGAGGGGACGACGAAAAGTAAATAAACGAAACGGGCGAGGAGGATGAGATGATGGGTTTGGAACGGGTGAGAAGGGTCCTTCCGGCAAAGACGACGGAGAAGGAGGAGGACAAGTTGATGAAAAAAACGTATAGGAAGATGAAACTTTGGGGTTATCGAAATGGAGATGAGGAAGTGGGTTGCAATTGAAACCTGGATGAGCTTGGAGTAGTAGGAAAGTAAATACCGTATTTCCTTGAATAGAAGCCCAACCAAACTGTCAACTTTGAGTTTAATCTCGGCTCCTATGATAGATATCAAAAATCTGCAAACTGATAAAACATTGGTGA